TTTCCTTGAGTAGTGTTGCTCGAACATTGGCATTTTTATGAAAGTACAGCTGTGTGACAATTTTTAGCTGATTTTTTGTAACTATCTTTCTTACTGATTTTTATCAGCTTTCTTGTTTGAACTATATTTGCTCTACTATTCACCTTTTCTTGTTGTACCAAAAGAAATGTGCAGATTTGTTAATCTTTTCACTCAGTGTTTTCTTGTCCTCTTAATCTTAAATACTTTTGAATAAATGATTCAAGGAAAAAGTAGTTTGATTAAGGTGTAAGAATTAGTGGTTTGTTCACAATTGCTAGTGCTCTGATTAGCTGAATATTGAGTTGCCAGACCCTCTGGTAGACCCTCTGGTAGAGGCGGGGGTTGTTGTATCCAGTTGTGGTGTCTAAGATTTCCAGATATGTTCATAGAAAAAGCATATATTAGAAGTGTAATGGTCTGAGCCAGCATGGATAATTTGCATGCCAATTGTCTGCTGGTCCGGAGTTAGGTAACTGCTGCTAGTAGAATAAGGTAAATTCTAGAGATAGTGCAGTCAGTTGTGTCAGCACCAGTTGTTTCAATACAAACCCCATTCTTTCTTCCCCTGCTTCTGTCAAATACTTATTCACAGCGTTGGTTCTTTAACTTGTATCTTAGTTTAGCCACATTTTATTACATACCATTACTTCATTTAATATGAACTGGAGTGCCACATTAAGTTGTAGAAATCATAAATTGTTGATATTTTTAGGCTAGTGAGCAGCATTTTGAAAATGACAGTGCACGACACACCACCTCTTTGCAAAGTTGTACACACAGCTGACGTCATATAGCTTATGATGTCTGAGTTGTAATGGCTTGCTTTTCCTGTAACAAACAACCTCTGATAGGATATATTTTAAGCCCAAGTGGGATTTATTTCCCAAATAGACCTGCATAAGATCATACTGTGTGGGGTAAAACATGGAATCTAGAATATACTGAAGTGTAATAAAGGCTATTTCCTACACCAGTTTAGTTTCTGATACTTCAGCAACTGCACCCATGCTTATAATTAAATGAATAGGATTCCAGCATGTAAAATAATGTAAAGTGTAGTGAGTCAAAGTAATTTGTTTCTAGGAATGTGTTGACTTGGGCCACAGGTCTTTGCTCAGCTTAATTGTAAGCATGTTCTGAAGTCAGCAGAATTATGCTATGTGTTCACTTGGCATGTTCTACTTTTTTCTTTTCTAAATCGGCCCCTACTCTTGTTACTAAGCTGTATTAATTCCAGTAGGGAATTGCAGCAATATGCTCTTAATGAGGATGAACAAATTTGCAGAAGGCAGTTGGCTTCCCAGTAAGATACTGGATACTGTACTACCCTGGCGGTATTCAGAACTATTGATGTACTCTGTATGGCACAGCACCAAGGCCTGCTTTTAGAATTGATTTGCACTTCAAAAATATGTACTTTTTTATAATTACTAATGTTATAATTCCCGATACAATCTTTATTCATGAAATTATTGTGTTCTTTTAGAACAAAAGTCTGTTTTAACACATCTGTCATTTTTACAATGTAAGAATGAACACAACTTTCTCTTCTCCCCTTAAGACCTCTAAAAGTTTCTTAGGTAGTGAAGCTCATTAACTATTGCAGTGTTACTTAAATCCATTTTCATCCCAAGTGGCTGTTCATATGCAATTGATTTTGGAATTTATGTCTACACCTTATTTGCACCTAAATTGACTGTGCTGTTTAGTGATCTAATAAACTCACAAGATAGTTATAGAGTTTTAGGTGAACTCTGAACAGAGTACAATGTACATGATTAAAAGATTCTTTTTAACAGAGAAGATGTTAAGATCCAATATATATTCTTCTGAAGCTGGACTTTTCCTCTGTATTACGTTAAAACTGGGGGTTGTTGTATCCAGTTGTGGTGTCTAAGATTTCCAGATATGTTCATAGAAAAAGCATATATTAGAAGTGTAATGGTCTGAGCCAGCATGGATAATTTGCATGCCAATTGTCTGCTGGTCCGGAGTTAGGTAACTGCTGCTAGTAGAATAAGGTAAATTCTAGAGATAGTGCAGTCAGTTGTGTCAGCACCAGTTGTTTCAATACAAACCCCATTCTTTCTTCCCCTGCTTCTGTCAAATACTTATTCACAGCGTTGGTTCTTTAACTTGTATCTTAGTTTAGCCACATTTTATTACATACCATTACTTCATTTAATATGAACTGGAGTGCCACATTAAGTTGTAGAAATCATAAATTGTTGATATTTTTAGGCTAGTGAGCAGCATTTTGAAAATGACAGTGCACGACACACCACCTCTTTGCAAAGTTGTACACACAGCTGACGTCATATAGCTTATGATATCTGAGTTGTAATGGCTTGCTTTTCCTGTAACTAACAACCTCTGATAGGATATATTTTAAGCCCAAGTGGGATTTATTTCCCAAATAGACCTGCATAAGATCATACTGTGTGGGGTAAAACATGGAATCTAGAATATACTGAAGTGTAATAAAGGCTATTTCCTACACCAGTTTAGTTTCTGATACTTCAGCAACTGCACCCATGCTTATAATTACATGAATAGGATTCCAGCATGTAAAATAATGTAAAGTGTAGTGAGTCAAAGTAATTTGTTTCTAGGAATGTGTTGACTTGGGCCACAGGTCTTTGCTCAGCTTAATTGTAAGCATGTTCTGAAGTCAGCAGAATTATGCTATGTGTTCACTTGGCATGTTCTACTTTTTTCTTTTCTAAATCGGCCCCTACTCTTGTTACTAAGCTGTATTAATTCCAGTAGGGAATTGCAGCAATATGCTCTTAATGAGGATGAACAAATTTGCAGAAGGCAGTTGGCTTCCCAGTAAGATACTGGATACTGTACTACCCTGGCGGTATTCAGAACTATTGATGTACTCTGTATGGCACAGCACCAAGGCCTGCTTTTAGAATTGATTTGCACTTCAAAAATATGTACTATTTTCCTGCACTAAAACGGAAAGAAACCCCCATATATGGTTGTTCAAAGAAATCTACAAAAAGTAGATGGCTAAATTCTTACCTTGCATACAGGGCTTTTTTTGTAGAAAAAGCCCAGCAGGAACTCTTTAGCATAATAGGCCACACCCAACAGCAGAAACTCATTAGCATATTAGGCCACACCCCTGACAGCACAACTCATTGGCATATTAGGCCACACCCCCATATTACCAGAAGTGTGGTCATCCAGCCACACCCACCTTTTGCTTCTTATTCTGTTTACCTTGTTTGTTGTCAAAACCCAGGGCTTTTTTGTAGCAGGAACTCCTTTGCATGTTAGGCCACACACCCCTAATGTAGCCAGTCCTAATGAGTTTCTGCTGTTGGGTGTGGCCTATTATGCTAATGAGTTCCTGCTGGGTGTGGCCAACTTGGAAGCCAGCCGGAACTCCGTTCCTGTGCGATCCTGCCCCAAAATAGCCCTGCTTGTATATGCATATATATATATTTTTAAAAACAAACTTTTGTGGGAAAAGACTTTGTTGTTCCTCCAAATGCAGACTTTCCAGCACCATGGCAATGATTTGTCCCCTCAAAACTAATGAACATGTGCTGCAACTGCAGGTAGCCACAGTATGAAATGATCCAGCCAGATCAGCAGAGAGGGAGGACAAGCATCTTCAACTTGTGAAGAAGCAGAAGTGCCAGAACCCCCATTCAGGCTGGGATCTCGCATTCAGAAGTGCAAGGCAGGCAACCTTTGGGTCATTTTAATGCTGCTGGGTACAACTGCCTGAAGCCTTGCCTAGCCCTTGCTGAAAGGTTTAGAATTATAATACAAAAATTGTAGATATGTAGGAAACTACCTGGTACCATAGTTCCCAAGCAGCTTCCTGTATATCAGTGTATATCCCTCAAAAGCTTTGGATACTGGTGTGTGACTTAGTGTAGAATGGGAAGGGCGCAGTAATGTGACCCTTGTGACTGATGTCTGTTAGCATCTCTTTAATGAATACTTCGAAATCTACATCTTGTTTTTCTTAACCATTTTTGTCACCATTTCATGTGTTCATTCTAGGATAATAGACGTAAGTTGGGTTGTAGACCAGGAACCAAAGAACTGCATCATTAGTTCTGCATGTCCAGTGTGTATGTGCACGAGCTCTTGTGTTCTTGAACAACCACTGTTCATGATACTATGCAAACCAGTTTCTAACAGGAAGGAGTTTTAAAGTAGTTTCTGGTATTGCATGAATATGTATCTGTGTGACGTGTTCCAAGAAAATAGTGCCAAAAATTCTACTGAGAATTATTGCTTTGGATCATGGCCATTGTTTACATGTTCAGTTTTGAGAATGCTTTTTAAAAATGAAGTAGGGGAAATCTAAATAAGCAAACCAATACTTTTAATTAATATGAAGGTTTTCTGTCATAAGAAGTATTAACAGGAAGGCCCAGGTTAACTCTGTTAAAGAGGTACTATAAGAAAAAGTGCAGAGTAAACTTGAAAAACTAGTCTGGGGTACTATACCAGTTTGGGAAATGGACCAAATGCTGTAATCCTAAAGGCCTGTTTAGCTGGTTGATTAATTTACTAGAGATGTAAGTGAAGACAGGTCTACCAAGAGCCATCATGGGCCCACAGACAAATATTCCCCCTTTCCACTTCACATCACCTAAACACACGCCAAACATAATATGAAAACAAATTGGATGACTTGCCCAGCTCTATGAGCTCTCAGACCTTTATTTTCTTAGTGTTACCCTCCCCGGCATCTGGACTGAAGATGCCTACGATGGAGTCAGAAATGTGTTTGAATGTTTAGGTGAGCTGGTGTCAAATCAAACAGTGATTTTTAATAGCTGTTTCTTGATACCAGATTAAGTCATGGTGACTTAATCACTTTAATCCAGAAAGTACTTTTAAATTTAGGACATGGTGTTTTTAAAAGCTGGCTTTAGTGAAATAAGGATTGTCAGAATACGGGAAGGTATGGGGGGGTTATTGACATGTGGGTTTTTTGCTTACAGAATGGACTCAATGCTCTACACCTGGCTGCCAAAGAAGGCCATGTGGGCTTGGTTCAGGAATTGCTGGAAAGAGGCTCTGCAGTGGACTCTGCTACAAAGGTAATATATTTAACATTTTTATAGAAGGAATTATTTTCCTTCCTTGACTCAGGACAAGAAAAACCGTGGGTAACCAACTGATGTGTTCCTTACTTTGAAGAATATTTTCTCTTCTTGGAGGATGCAGAGTGATGAAAGGATACTGTTCTATGGGATTGTGATGGGATTGTGTTCTAGAAGGAAGAGACGGTGGAAGAATGGCGAAGTTTTGCAGTTTAGTATCTTTGTATCTTCCGCAACCACTGATTTTCATACTGGACTATGTGTGGGGCGGAGAAAGTAGGTAGATGGAGCTTTTGCTTCCTCTCCCATAGTACTAGAACTTGGGGGCACCCATTGAAATTGTTGGTAAACAGGTTGAAAACAAACAAAAAGAAATAGTTTTTTACTCAATGAGGAGGAGGAGAAATTTGAGAGAGAGAGAAAATAGTGAAGAAAAATGGATTGGGAGCCATATTATAGCTGCAACCAGCTGCACTTCATGTTGTTCAGTGGTTGATGACATGTAGGAATCCAGATCAGATTTGAATTCATTCCCTTACTTGTCTTTACCTGTTTCTGTGAAGATTCTAGATTTATCTCAATTATAAATGACCTATAGTGTATGTCAAGGAAATCCTGGTATTATAGCCCAACAAAAGCTTACAGTGCGGAGCAACATTTAAACAAACGGCTTCCCAATCATGGAGCTTCTGAAAGAGGCTTACCTCAGCCTCTCATTACAGATTTGTTTTTTGTTTTAATGACAGATAATTTCTGTCCAAGTCTATGTATAACTTTTAAATTGTGCTGGTGGTAAGTGCCATCAAGTAGCAGCTGATTTATGGTGACCCCTGGTGGGGGTTTCAAGGCAAGAAACATCAGAGGTGGTTTTCCATTGTCTGCCTCTGTGTAGGGACCCTGGATTTTCTTAGTGGTCTCTCATCTAAACAATAGCCAGGCTGACCTTGCTTAGCTTCTGAGATCTGACAAGATCAGGGTAGTCAGGGAAGCATTTAAATACGTTGTTTAATGTTAGGAATTTTATTCAGTGAAGTTTTGGGATGCTGTTTGTTGTAAGCTGCTTTGAAGGGGGTTATAAAATTAAAAATAAATGAGGATATTTGTCTTTTTTTACTACACAGAAAGGCAATACTGCACTACACATTGCATCCTTGGCTGGACAGTCTGAAGTTGTCAAAGTTCTGGTTAAGGAAAAAGCCAATATTAATGCACAGTCTCAGGTACGTTGACATGTTGTCCTCTTATGATGTTGTGTATCATGGACCATAACTTATTTTTGAAAAACAAGCCAAGAATAATCTGTCATGCACAGGATAAAATCTCTGCATGGGGCAAAATGAAACTAGAAACTAGAAAACAGGAGCTATAGTGCTAATATTCCCAACTCCAAGTTGGGAAATTCCTGTAGATTTGGGGGCGAAGCCCAAGGAGGAGTTTGGGGAGGGGAGGGACCTCAGCAGTGTATACTGACATAGAGTCTACTCTCCAAAGCAGCCATGTTCTCTATATAAAACACATTTTAAAATTTTGTTCATTGTAATTAATCTCTAGGGAATGAAATTCAGACCGTTATCCTGGCATACAGTACTTAACAATTCATTAAGGAACTCAGCTTTTCTTTTGTTCTCTGGAAGCAGATTTTGAAGATACATTCAGTGGCTTATGGCCTTGAGGCACAATCCATTGAGGAATTT